TTTTGGGAGTATCTTTGAATGGAGCTCTGTTTTCATTTCCATGTCGATATCAACATATTTTCCCCATTGAGATCTGATGTGTTTTCAAAGTGTTCCTTTAATGTTTTTGAGCAATGTAAAAGGAGCTGTAACACTGATCTGCCTTTGAGCTTTCACATCCTCCTTCATATCATGTCTCAGCATGACTGTAAGTTTAATATGCACACATGTATGTCTCTATATATCTCTACCACGTGTGACAGCAGGAAAACGAAAGTGGCAAACAGTGGGGTGTGATCTGTCTTCTGTGCGATTTGCACGTCAAAACGAGACACCTGTAAATGTAGGAAAATGCTGGAAGCTCTGATTTGCCCTGCAGTGAATGGATTTCTCTGTTCTCGTGAAAACCAGGCTTGTTGTAACACATCACTGCAGGCTCGGCCCGTCACACAATTGTTTGTCACATTCCAGCTTTGCCATTCAAGTTGAACAATATGCTGCTGCTTATCCTGCTGACTTTGGACTGTACGTGGCATGTTGTGGTGAGCACTGCTTGCAGATAGATGGTTTTCATATTTCTGGCCTGGTCAAAGCAAAGTTTACCTACTCTACATTCCACATCCCCTTTGTCAAATACAAGATAAGAAACTTGCCACGCTGCCTGCGATGCATTTGTTTCCTAAGTTATCAGCTTGTGTTTAAGCCCAGCAGCACATTACATCTGGAAAAAGCAATAGATGGCTAATTGCACTCATCTGGCAGGTAATTTGTAGTCATATGCTGTTTTAGGATATTCTGTATTATATTAGCAATACTCCAGCTGTGTAGCAGAATAAAAGTAATCATTAGAAAGGTGTTGCAAGACAGAGGTACAGGTATGATATAAACCTGAACAAAAGCATAAAAACAGCATTACCACTGGAAGGGGAGAGGCCAGAGCGAGAGCCCTGTGGGGTTGTGAGCTGGTGCTTCATTAACTGACTTTTACAGCTCTGAGGGTTCAGCTGTACCTGCTAAGAGTAAGACTGAAATTCAGGGGTGGGACTTTTTTCTCTGTCGTACCAGTCTGTCTGGATTTTTTTCTTATCTTCCCACAACAAGCTGCTGGTTCTTCAGAAAAGTTTTTGGGTCTGGCCACTTGTGATTGGAGGGAGAAATCGAGTTGTCATTTTGAGATTGTCTTGCTGAGCAAGTTTTTTTTCTTTTGCTGGTGCTTCTGGTCAACCTGAACTGTGAGATCTTGCAGAGACTCTCTCAGGGACTCGCTGAATGTGCATGCAGGAAAGGATGATCAACTTCTTATATTTTTTCCTCCCAGTGTTGGGAGGATACACCCTCACCTCGGTTTACCTGCTAAAGAACCCACAGATTCTCCACAGGAAGAAACGCCCTGCTTTCTACTGCAAAAAGATCGCACACAGAGGAGGTAAGGATCTGCAGTCAATGTGTGGGACTCAAAGAACATGTGTGGAAGTGCTCACCGGACTGGGCTTGGCATGCAGTCTCTGTGCCCTGAGGTCTGGGTTTTAATCTGCCTCAAGTCCATCTGTAAAGCAGCTGCATGTCAGTCAGTGATTTAACTGGAGAGAAGCCCAAAACACTGATGCTATTGAATGTTATAGAATGCTTTTGCTTCACTTTCCAACATTTTAAATGCTAATTTCTTTCAGCAGCTGCAGATTTTAGTCCTGTGGGTTAAAGCCTTATGTATGAAGCTTTCCCATG